CCCAAATTACGCACCGCGTAAATTTTCACAAAAGTGGGATGAAAGCACGCATCCAGCCCCTTCCTATTAAAGAACTTCAACAGCGAGGTTGTTCTTAGGGTGAGGACGGATGGGTGCGAAACCTACTTTCTCCGTCCTTTTAGCAAGACAGTGATGAGTGCTTCACTGGACAGAAACCAATTCAGGGAGTGGTGTGCAGGCAGCAAGTTACTGTCAGACGTCCGGATTTACTGAAAATTTTAGACGAGCCTATAACACCTCATTCCGTTAACATGGCATCCCACTATGGTTCCTTGCTTGCCAAAACCACTGGCAAATCAACAGCAAATGGCACACAGGAATCTAATCTTTGACATGGCCAATTAGAGATTGATGCAAAAAAAAACTTTTATTTTAAGTAAGTTGAAGCAAATTAGCACATATAAGTTATGAATTATTTAGGGTTTCGGCCACCGCGAACCCCTAGTTTTGATTTAGAAGATTCTCAAAAAAATCAAAATTTGATCAATTTCGGCCAAATACCCGTTTAACTCACAGCTTCGACTCCTTGGCTTCTCGCACACTGCAACTCTGCAAGCACTGCCTACCCACAAAACATTACAAACGGCAATTCCTGACACTTCCAAGACCGCTGACGAACCTTTCGACTATGCCTTCTTCATTACCTCTCAATCAAACATTACTTCATTCTGCGACCAACGGGGCAATCCCGGCCACCTAATGAAGGCTTTGAAATAGAAGTCACGTAGAATTATGCTTGAATGGTGGCGACATGAAGCATGTTCGTGTGACCAAAGGCAGCCTATGCTTCGAAGTAGCATTTGCAAAAAAATTAGCTTAGCTGGACATAGATGAATCACATTACTGCAAAGACAAATGAGTAAAATTACAACAGCACGATGTGAATACGGAAATGATACATTGAGTGACTTCGACATGGCACAGCACTGCCATCATGGTTTCCAGGAGAATCGAGAGATCGAAACAAGAAAAGCCAAATGGGGAAAGACAAAAACGGCTTTTCCTCGCCCCAAAAAGAGCATTTCAGTGAGAAAACAGCAAAATTAGTTGGAACATTACAATGGCATTTTGGCCTTAACACGACATTTTTGAAGTGTTGCGCGATGGATGAACTGCTGACGGGAAAGCTGACGCACCTCCTTAAGGTAATTTGTCAAGCTGATACGGCCACGACTTAACGCTTGACCGAGAAAGTAGATCGCATCATCAATAGCACAATCGTACACGTAACATCGCAGAAGCTGGAACATTTGAAGTTTACCATGAACCTACGAACTCTTCACAAATCCCTAGGTTCCTGTCATTTGTAGGCATCTCCAGCACTTCCCTTCCACAGCTCTTTCGTCAAGCTGTCCATAAAAAAAAAAGGCTCCTCGCTTAATACCATTCATTGAACCAGCTGCAGAAAGGCCTTAACCCTATTCAAGTTTCACATCTTCCATCACCATGGTTCTTCACACACAGTGCATTATCGCCAGTTTGGAAAACTGAGAGACTTCTTATTTACTTTCTACGGCATGAATTTTGCGAACCAAACACAATTTCTAAGTTTTGACTAATTTTATTCGCAAAGGAAGCCTGAAAATTAGGGAAAGCCCGAAAACCACCGCTACTTACGCATCAGATAAAAAGTTTCTAATCTATCGCAGACCAGCGTAATGGACAAGAGATCCCACAAATTTCTTACTTTCTAGTAAAAAAGTGATTCCGCATTTTCTTTCTCTCCAATAAAAAACTAATTCCGCTCTGATTTTATTTTAAGCCCCTTAAAACACCGCTCCATTTGGAATGACGGATAAAAAATATCCCTAAAGACAGAAGCAGAAAATGAGCCATATCTGCCTCCATCCCCATCTGTTCCTTGAAAAACCTTGCGAATACAATTTTGAACTTTTCTGATGTGATTCCTGACAACCGGAGGGACGTTGGGATACTACATGCTTTAATAATATCAAGGTCGGAATTTCCCGTCGCCTAATTAACTTTGTTAAAATTACTTCTTTTCCAGTGCCGAGAAATCTTTTGCTACAAATCGGAATCGGGCAGCTTCAACCGGAGGGACGTTAGAATACTACACGCTTAAAATAACATTAATAAAAGTTAAAATTCTCCATCAGACATTTTGCTGAGGGAATTTTCCGTCGCCTGATTAAATTAGTTAAAATTACCTCTTTTCCAGTGCCGAGAAATCCTTTGGTACAAATCGGAATCGGGCGGCTTCAGCAAAATGTCTGATGGAGAATTTTAACTTTTATTAAAAAATGTTATTTTATGCTACAATGTGTGCCACCAGCAATAAATCACTGCTTCAAACTGTTTATGTCTGACCTTTCAAACCGACTACTATCAAACGCTCATTTTGAATGGCAACACGTCTACTTGCAAAGTCACAACTTTATCGATTTCCCCTTTCAAGCTATTTGATTTTCTTCGTCCAAGCTACTTATCACTACTGTAAGTACAAACATTCAAGTGCTAACCTGTCTATGTAACGGCGTGCAGGCATCAATCACCTGATCAATTTCGACACTTTTCTCCGAAGAAGATAACGCCAAGAGAGAACTGATTTCAGCTTTCTTCTCCTAAAACTGCACGCTTCTGGCAACGATATAAACATAATTGAGCATGACTCCCAAACTAAAAAGAAAAAACTGCTTTCAGTTAAGAAGGAAAAAACTACCTGAAGTAGCACCAATGCGTCTTTCATCCGTTTCTGTTCCTCAGCTAATTCATCAAGGACAGATCTGAGCTTTTGCTGGCCAGCTCTGAGGTCTGTATAGGTTTGCCTTATTGAAGCCAATTCAGCATGTACTGTTCCTGAACAAAAATGAAGATAAAAAAGTGAGGGATTAAAAACCAAAATTAAAGATAAAGCAATAAAAACTATTCGCAAAAAAACGATGTTTTCCACACGGACTTTTTAAAATTGCATAGAAACAGACAAAACCCATACCTAATTTTTCTCTAAGACGCTGCCTAACTTTATGTTCGACTGCACTCAACACGGATGCTTTAAGGTGCTCCGGCTGAACCGTACCACTGCTCTGCGAGAAAGATGAGAAATACGAAGGTGGCGGTGTCGGTGGATATGGAGGCATCCCAGGTGTATTAGAGGTTGGGTAGGGTGTATAACCATGCGGCTGCACAGACACTGGACCTGTGTTTGAGGGACGAGAATTGCCACCTGGCTTTGCAAAGACCGGACACGATTCTTGGAAACACATTGCCATCACCTTAAAAAACGGTCATAAACAATACAACAATTAACAAACTATGGCGAACTGGCAGCGTTAAACATCATGCAAAATAACTTGCCTGCTTTACACGAATTTTATTAGGCGTTTACAGACAACGGCTATGCCGCTGCTCTGAGAAAAATAGAGCACTCCAGTAACATCACTAACATGGAAGAGCCACAATGACTGCCCAAGCACACTTGGTGTATATCCAGACTCCCAGCTTGAAAAGTACCTCCTCACTGGAATGTTCGGGAGAAGGTGGCGTCGGAAGGAGCAGGGTGGCATCAACGAAAATTCCAAAACTACTAAAGCTTTGTCACATGTTTTTACAAGGAGAACTACTTAGCTGACAATCCCCCCACTGACAGAGGAAACAAACATGCCATCAGCAAGCTAACCATTAGGCAATGCTACGCCACTAATAAAAAGACGCTTTCTTCCCTTCTCCCAATGTCATAGTGGCGAACTACTTCACCATTTAAATTATTTCTGGTCAAGGCTGCTGTTTTTGTGAGTCATCGTCCAACCGCAAAAAAAGAAGCAGCTGCAGCTGAAATTTGAATCCAATGAAGCTAAAAATTTTCTCAAGTCATCGAATCGAAAAGAGACATTTGAAGACCATACACAGAGGCAATAACCATTATATAAGTTAAAAAATACACCCAGGCTGGAACGCACCAAGCTCTCCGGTGCAACCATGCGTTTTTGCATGAACTCGCACACTACGCTGCAGTCTAACACTTGGGTCATATTGGGCGTCCTTTGACCCTTTCCGGCATGCAGGAGGAAGAGCGTCAGTTGGGATGAAGGTGATGCATTATAGAGCCGCACGAACATCCAGCTGCATGATTACTGGTTTTTTGCATGAAGTCTGGTCGTTTTTTCGGTAAATGCTCGCTTTGTGAGAAAATGACAAATGTAAATTTTTTGAAAAAATGCAAATCCCCAGTTCACTAAAAAGTAGAAGCATTGCCCGAGCGGTCGTTTGTCAAAAAATCCACGTTCATTTACACATACAATTGCGGCTAAAGTCCGAGCTGCGAACGATTTTTTTTGAAAATATGCAAATTTCCGGATCATTAAAAATTGAAAGTATTGCTCGAACGGTCGTTTGTCAAATAATCCATGTTCATCTGCATACACAATTGCGGTTCAGATCCGAGTTGCTAACGATTTTTGGGTTGAGGAGCCGCTTGAGGCTGTGGTTGGGGAACCAGAGAGCTGAGTTTAAAATCTTTAGCTCACACGTGCATAGAGAATATCCCTGCAAAGTTTCAGCTTTCTA